TTTTCCTGTTTTCATATGGGCACGGCATTTTCTGGGGTGGTCAAAGTTGCACATCCCATCTGTTTTTCCAGATATTCCATGCCTGCAGATACCAAGTGCCGAGAATTTGCATAGACCTGGTTTCTGTTTGCCTTGGTTTTTTGTGACTGTATTCCCTATTGGTGCATGTTTCCTGTTTCATTTCTATCTTCAGCACTAGTGCTAACAATGGAGCCTTCATCAGTTATTTCTGGTAATTTATCTTCACTATTTCTCGGAGGATCCCCTTGTGTACTATCTCCCGTGGTATTGCTAGTTTGTAACATTGGTTTTTGCAAGTCTTTGTCCTTATCTACACCTGTTTCCCAACTAGAGCTCCTGTCCCCCTCCAGTCCACCATAATTTATTTTTCTATTCTTACAGTTACTGTCTACCAGGACAGCATTTGTACCAGGGGCGATAACACCATCTGGCCCAGGTTTTTTATTTTCTCATCTGTTATAGAATGCTGTCAGGTTTTTTATGGAGGCCGTTTTGATGTTATCATCTTTTATCATCAATGTGATTTTATTCCACAGTTCAGTCTCATTTGGACATACCCAAAAACACTTCCCTGGTTTAATATCTCTGGTAGATGATTCCTGAAAACCTGCACAAGGTGCGTGGATCCATTTCCCACAGAAATTGCATGTAATCCATGCAATAGCCCGTTTGTTTGTTTGGTTGCAGACTACACAAGATTTCATGATGTGACTTTATTGGTTGTGTTACTGTATATTCTACTAATAGCTTCCTTAAAGTGGAGATCTATCTATTTGCATTGTATCTATTTTATTTGTATATGTATGTGTTTGGGGCAATCTTACCGCTCAAATACATATTGTTTGGGTGTTTGATAAGGTCACCTAAAACCCCGAATCCAGTCATTGGCTCATTTATTTCTAGGACAAATCAGGACGAAATCAATTCAGTGGATCACTTATTTTAATGAATCCGGTCGGAGATTTCTGGGCTAGCTCGTGAAAGGACCACTGGAATATTATTTAACAGAGTAATAATGTTCAGTTTGATACAAAAAATATAACCTGCATGTTGGAGAAACTGGTGGCTTCTGGCACTCCTACTATGATGAACTGCTGTACCTTTGGCACCCTTTATTACCGCCTGAAGTTTTGGGGACTTATAGATCACTATATTTAGCTTTTCTAGATTTTTTTCTACCTCCACCACAAGAAATATTATATCACTATAGCTGACTCGTGAAGATTATTGAAGGAATATTTCCTTTTCGTTGTGTATATTGCGACCGCTGCTAAGTACAAGATCTATGTATATCAACAAACTGTAACTCATATTTCAAAAGGAAGAAATTTCTAATGCCGGTCGCTGCACCACACTAAGTACCAATAATATGTTACTGTTATTAGCTACGGCAACACTGGCAAAAGGTTCTGGATGATAAATGGTCTTATGTTGTCACAACTGTCAAGAAAGTGTTTTAGTTCAGTGTTAATATTGGAATTTATGGTTCTTTAAATGTAGGCTGCACAGAAGTTAGTGTGGATGTTCTGTACAGTGAGTAAGTTTAGGTCTTTGAAGAGTGGAGGGGGAGGGATGTTGTCTAGTATTGTATTGCATGATAATTCTTGCTGCAGCTTTCTGTTGGGATATTATTGGTTTTAGGTGTGTTGCTGCTGTTGATCCACATGCAAAAATATAATAGGTGAGGTAGGGATAGATGAATGACTAGTACAGTGTGAGTAGGACTGATTGTGGTACGTAGTAACATATCTTAGAGAGGATCCCAACCGTTTTGGATACTTTTTTATGTGTCGGATATGAGTGCTGAATTTCAGGATGCTGTCAAGGTGTAGGCCCAGGAATTTACCCTCATTATATTTAGCAATAAGAGTGTTGTCAATCATAATGTTCAGCTGGGAAATACCTGCTCTGTTACAAAACAAAATATAGAAGGTTTTGTCGGTTTTATTAGCAGTCATCCAGGTCGATATTTTTTACTAGCTCTTCGCTAACAGTAGTGTTGAGGGAGACAAGATTTGGGTGGGAGATGACATAAGTCGTGTCGTCAGCAAAGAGAATTGGTTTCAGAGGTTGTGATACATTAGGAAGATCATTGACGTACATGAGGAACAGCAGGGGACCAAGGACACTTCCCTGTGGTACTCCAGTATTAAGTGGTCGTGTTGATGAAGATCAGACCCTGATCCACCATGAGGATTTGTCTCAGACCGGGCCGCGGGGGCGTTGACCCCCGAAACCCTCTCCAGGTAAACTCCAGGTGTCCTTAATAAAAGACATATTGATACCCGTTAGTAAGGTAGGATTTGAAATATGTAAATGCGTGGCCACTTATACCATAATGGTCAAGTTTGTTGAGTAGGGTGCTGTGGTCTACTGTATCAAAAGCTTTCCATAGGTCGATAGTTTTAATGGATTCTAAGCTTCGTACACTGAAACGTACTGCTAGCAGACTAGGCCTAGCCTATAGAAAACATCGCACCCCTGGAATGCTGAGGCTCTTTCAAACTGCCCTTGCTGCTGCCAGAGAGCGTATGACAGAACTGCGGCAAACAGACTGGGAAAAATTTGTCAACGGTCTTAATGCTCACACCCACTTAGCCGGGCATGGAGGGACATAAACAGAATTAAAGGTAACAGAACTGGGCAGATCGCACACCCTCATTCCTTACATAGGTTTAGTTAGTTTAATATCTTTATTATGCACCACATACCCATCCTGTGGGCGGTAGTCAAAAGATTACAAAGGTACATAATGGGTCCAGGGACTGGACCCCAAAGTTATGATAGCTGAACTAGTTACAAAGGTAATGAACTCATGGTAGATCTGGTCACAATCATGGCAAGTTACAAAGGTAATGAATCAGCCTCACTCCTATACATGGTTACAATCATCAATAAATTACAAAGTAATGAACCACCGATATGTCCACACCTGGTCACAATTGTAATGAGTTATAAATACAAATATTAAGTGGATCATTCACCCACTTTCAGCCTTCCATCCCTTTCCATCCTATGGAGAGGGAGCATGGACACGGGGGTCGTCCCACAGTTACTAAAAACAACAGACAGCCCCACTCCACAAAGGGGGCAGTAAAGCAACAGCAAAAAACTACAGACCAATAGCACTAACATCCCATATCATAAAAATCTTTGAAAGGGTCCTAAGAAGCAAGATCACCACCCATCTAGAAACCCATCAGTTACACAACCCAGGGCAACATGGGTTTAGAACAGGTCGCTCCTGTCTGTCTCAACTATTGGATCACTACGACAAGGTCCTAAATGCACTAGAAGACAAAAAGAATGCAGATGTAATATATACAGACTTTGCAAAAACCTTCGACAAGTGTGACCATGGCGTAATAGCGCACGAAATGCGTGCTAAGGAATAACAGGAAAAGTCGGTCGATAGATCTATAATTTCCTCACTAACAGAACACAGAGAGTAGTCGTCAACAGAGTAAAGTCCGAGGCAGCTACGGTGAAAAGCTCTGTTCCACAAGGCACAGTACTCGCTCCCATCTTGTTCCTCATCCTCATATCCGACATAGACAAGGATGTCAGCCACAGCACCGTGTCTTCCTTTGCAGATGACACCCGAATCTGCATGACAGTGTCTTCCATTGCAGACACTGCAAGGCTCCAGGCGGACATCAACCAAATCTTCAGTGGGCTGCAGAAAACAATATGAAGTTCAACGATGAGAAATTTCAATTACTCAGATATGGTAAACATGAGGAAATTAAATCTTCATCAGAGTACAAAACAAATTCTGGCCACAAAATAGAGCGAAACACCAACGTCAAAGACCTGGGAGTGATCATGTCGGAGGATATCACCTTCAAGGACCATAACATTGTATCAATCGCATCTGCTAGAAAAATGACAGGATGGATAATGAGAACCTTCAAAACTAGGGAGGACAAGCCCATGATGGACACTCTTCAGGTCACTTGTTCTATCTAGGCTGGAATATTGCTGCACACTAACAGCACCTTTCAAGGCAGGTGAAATTGCCGACCTAGAAAATGTACAGAGAACTTTCACGGCGCGCATAACGGAGAAAAAAACACCTCAATTACTGGGAGTGCTTGAGGTTCCTAAACCTGTATTCCCTGGAACGCAGGAGGAGAAATACATGATTATATACACCTGGAAAATCCTAGAGGGACTAGTACCGAACTTGCACACGAAAATCACTCACTACGAAAGCAAAAGACTTGGCAGACGATGCACCATCCCCCAATGAAAAGCAGGGGTGTCACTAGCACGTTTAAGAGACCATACAATAAGTGTCAGGGGCCCGAGACTGTTCAACTGCCTCCCAGCACACATAAGGGGGATTACCAGCAGACCCCGGGCAGTCTTCAAGCTGGCACTGGACAAGCACCTAAAGTCAGTTCCTGATCAGCCAGGCTGTGGCTCGTACGTTGGTTTGCGTGCAGCCAGCAGCAACAGCCTGGTTGATCAGGCTCTGATCCACCAGGAGGCCTAGTCACAGACCGGGCCGCGGGGGCGTTGACCCCCGCGGCCCGGTTACCCCAGGTAACCCATAATGCCAAGGCATAATAGAGGCTCTCTCTATTGCACTGTATAGTCCTTGTGGCTTAGCGCTTCTTTTTGATTATAATAATAACTCTCTATTGCAACCCACTATTGTATATACACAATCTCAATGTACTGTTTGCAAAGACATTAAATAAATAAATAAATAATTAAATAAATAAATAAATAAATAAATACTTACGTATATAAAGTTCGAAATAACAAAAATAATAATAGTCAACACTTCCTCCGAAACTCTACCTTAAATTACACATTTTATTAATAAAATTCCCTGAACTAGTGTTGATGGTATACATTAGGAGGTGAAAAATACCAATAGTGTATATAAGAGTGATGTATATTATAAGTAATGTATATAATAGATGATAGAAGTTGTATATAATATTTGTATAATTAAGTGTAGATGTTAGAACACAGTGACCTGGACAACAACACCAGCTGGTGATCACTCTCCTTTATCTCTCATATTTGTGACTCTCTCTCCCCCTCCCCGTGCGGGTTTAACACTTCTTGTGATGCATATCATACATTAAGGTGCCTTGGTCATCACCCTGACGGATCTTGATCCAAGGAACTACTGTTATCATCAATTATTGTGGATTTAAACTGACTCTCACAAGCTGTCACCCATACGGGTTTACGCTTCCCAGTAGCCTGAGTTATCCAACCAGGATTGAGTTATCCACCCAAGATAACCCAGGGTAGCAAGTTACCCACCCAGGATAACCCAGGGTAGTGAGTTATCCACCCAGGATAACCCAGGGTAGTGAGTTATCCACCCAGGATAACCCAGGGTAGTGAGTTATCCACCCAGGATAACCCAGGGCAGTGAGTTATCCACCCAGGATAACCCAGGGTAGTGAGTTATCCACCCAGGATAACCCAGGGCAGTGAGTTAGCCACCCAGGGTGGTGAGTTATCAACCCTGGATAACCCAGGGTAGTGAGTTATCCACCAGGATAACCCGGGTAGTGATTTATCAACCTGGATAACCCAGGGTAGTGAGTTATCCACCCAGGATAACCCAGGGTAGTGAGTTATCCACCCAGGATAACCCAGGGTAGTGAGTTATCCACCCAGGATAACCCAGGGTAGTGAGTTATCCACCCAGGATAGTGAGTTATCCACCCAGGATAACCCAGAGTAGTGAGTTAGCCACCCAGGATAACCCAGGATAGTGAGTTATCCACCCAGGATAACCCAGGGTAGTGAGTTATCCAACCAAGATAACCCAGGGGAGTGAGTTATCCACCCAGGATAACCCAGGGTAGTGAGTTAGCCACCCAGGATAACCCAGGGTGGTGAGTTATCCAACCAAGATAACCCAGGGGAGTGAGTTATCCACCCAGAATAACCCAGGGTAGTGAGTTATCCACCCAAAATAACCCAGGGTAATGAGTTATCCACCCAGAATAACCCAGGGTAGTGAGTTACCCACCCAAGATAACCCAGGGTAGGACGTTATCCACCCATGATAACCCAGGGGAGTGAGTTAGCCACCCAGGGTAGTGAGTTTTCAACCCTGGATAACCCAGGGTAGTGAGTTATCCACCTAGGATAACCTATGGTAGTGAGTTATCCACCCAGGGTAGGGAGTTATCAACCAAGAATAACCCAGGGTAATGAGTTATCCACTCAGGGTAGTGAGTTAGCCCCCCAGGGTAGTGAGTTTTCAACCCTGGATAACCTTGGGTAGTGAGTTATCCACCCAGGATAACCCAGAGTAGTGTATTATCTGCCTAGGGTAGGGAGTTATCCACCCAGAGTAGTGAATTATCTACCCAGGGTAGGGAGTTATCCACACAGGGTAGGGAGTTATCCACCCAGGGTAGTGAGTTTTCAACCCTGGATAACCCAGGGTAGTGAGTTTTCAATCCTGGATAACCCAGGGTAGTGAGTTATCCACCGAGGGTAGTGAGTTTTCAACCCTGGATAACCCAGGGTAGTGAGTTGTCCACCCAGGGTAGTGAGTTTTCAACCCTGGATAACCCAGGGTAGTGAGTTATCCACCCAGGATAATCCAGGGTAGTGAGTTATCCACCCAGGATAATCCAGGGTAGTGAGTTATCCTCCCAGGATAAACCAGGCTTGTGAATTATCCATCCAACATAACCCAGGGTAGTGAGTTATCCACCCAGTATAACCCAGGGTAGTGAGTTATCCACCCAGGATAACCCAGGGTAGTAAGTTATCAACCTAGGATAACCCAGGGTAGTGAGTTATCCACCTAGGATAACCCACGATAGCGAGTTATCCATCCAGGCTAACCCAGGGTAATGAGTTAGCCACCAAGGATAACCCAGGGTAGTGTTATCCACCCAGGATAACCCAGCATAGTGTGTTCTCCACCCAGTACAACCCATGGTAGTGAGTTATCAATCCAGGATAACCCAGGGTAGTGTGTTATCCACCCAGGATAAGATCGGGTGGTGAGTTATCCATCCAGGATAGCCCAGGGTAGTGAGTTAGCTACCCAAGATAACCTGGGGTAGTGAGTTATCCACCCAGGATGACCTAGGGTAGTGAGTTATACATCCTGCATAACCCAGGGTAGTGAGTTATACATCCTGCATAACCCAGGGTTGTGAATTATCTGTCGAGGATAATCCAGGGTAGTGAGTTAGCCCCCCAGGATAACCCAGGGTAGTGAGTTATCCATCCAGGATAACCCAGGGTAGTGAGTTAGCCACCCAGGATAATGCAGGGTAGTGAGTTAGCCACCCAGGATAAGACAGGGTAGTGAGTTATCCATCCATGAGAACCCAAGGTAATGAGTTATTCATGCAGGATAACCCAGGGTAGTGCGTTATCCACCCAGGATAACTCAAGGTAGTGAGTTAACCACCCAGGATAATCCAGGGTAGCGAGTTAACCACCCAGGATAACCCAAAGTTGTGAGTTAACCACCCAGGATAATCCAGGGTAGCGAGTTAACCACCCAGGATAATCCAGGGTAGTGAGTTATCGATCCAGGATAACCTAGGGTAGTGAAGTATCCACCCAGGATAACCCAGGGTCGTGAGTTAACTGCTCAGGACATCCTAGGGTAGCGAGTTATCCACCCAGGATATCCCAGTGTAATAAGTTATCCACCCAGGATAACCCAGGGTAGGGAAGTTTGTCCACCCAGGATAAACTAGGGTAGGGAGGGTTAGCCACCCAGGATAACCCAGTGTAGTGATTGTTATCCATTTTGGGTAGGAAGTGTTAGCCACCCAAGATAATTCAGGGTAGGGAGTGTTAGGCACCAGGATTTCCTGTGGTAGGTTAACCACACAGGATAATCCAGGGTAGGAAGTGCAAGCCACCTCGTGTAACGTAGGGTAGTAAAGGTTAGCCACCCTGGAGAATCTAGGGTCGGGAATGTTATCCACATAGGATAACCCAGGGTACTGAGTCATCCACTTAGCATAACCCAGGGTAGGGAATGTTACCCAATCAGAATAACCAAGGTTATCCACTCAGGATATCCCAGGGTAGGGAGTGTTATCCACCCTGGAGAACCTGAGGTAGGGAGTATTAACCACTCAGGATAACTCAGGGTAAGGTGTATTATCCACCCAGGATAACCCAGGGTAGAGGGGATTATCCATCCAGAATAACCCAGAGTAGGGAGTGTTAGCCTCCAGGATAACCTGGGATTATGAGGGTTAGCCACCCAGGATAACATAGGTATACCTTGACAGGGTGCTGGGAGTCAATGGCCTTGTGACCCAGTCTGTGATCAGGTCTCATGGTGGATCAGGGCCTGATCAACCAGGCTGTTACTGTTGGCTGCACATCAACTGATGTACGAACCACAGCCCGGCTGGTCAGGTGTTGACTTAAGGTGCCTGTCCAGGGAGTTCATGAAGACAGCCTGGGATCTATTTGTAACATCCCTTATGTATGCTGGGAGGCAGTGGAAAAGTCTCGGACCCTTGACACTTACTGTGTTGTCTCATACTGTGCTCATGGTGCCCTTACTTTTCATTGGGGGGATGTTGCATCTCCTGCTCGGTCTTTTGCTTTCATAGGGAGTGATTTTCGTGTGCAAATTTTGCACTAATCCCTCTACGTTTTTCCAAGTACAGTGGACCCCCAGTTTACGATATCATTTCATTCCAGAAGTATGTTCAGGTACCAGTACTGACCGAATTTGTTCCCATAAGGAATACTGTGAATTAGATTAGTCCATTTCAGACCCCCAAACATACACATACAAATGCACTTACATAAATACACTTACATAATTGGTCGCATTGGGAGCTGATCGTAAACCGGGGGTCCACTGTATATATAGTCAGTAAGAGTTAGGATTAGTCTGCCTGAAATGCCTATGCATGTTAATAGCTCTCTTTGTACCTAATATTTTGTAACATTTATACCACACATTGTAAACTGCAAAAAAATATAAATTTTGATGTTAAAGTGTATGTTATCATGTATCTTTCTCGCTTGCATTCCAGGGAATACAAATCAAAGGACTTCAACTGTTCCCATTAACTTAGGTGCTTTATCGTACATATGTGTGCCTTGAAGATTTTCTGTGCATTCTCCAGATCAGCAATTCGCCTTGCTTGAAAAAGGCCATTAGTGTACAACAGAATTCCAGCTAGAGAGAAGTGATTTGAAGAGAATCATCATGGGCTTAGCATCCCTAGTTTTGAAGGTTCTCATTATCCATCCTATCTTTTTTCTATCACACGTGGTAGATATGTTGTTATGGTCTTTGAACGTGAGATCCTCTTGATATTATCACTCCCAGGTCCTTCTCATTAATTTTTTGCTCTATTGTGTGGTTGGAATTTGTTTTATACTCTGATACACTTGAAATTTCCTCAGGTTTTCTATATCGGAGTAACTGAAATTTCTCCAAACTGAACTTTATACTGTTTTCTGTGGCCCATATAAAGATTTGGTTGATGTTCACTTGGTGTCTTGCAGTGTCTTCATTGGATGACTGTTGTGGCAATTTGGGTGTGATCCACAAAGGAAGACATGGTGCTGTGGCTTACATCCCTGTGCCAGTTATGAGGATGAGGAGCAAGATGTGGAAAAGAGGTTTTCACTGTAGCTGCCTCAGACTTTACTGTTTATTATTACTCCGTGTTCTATTTGTAAGGAAGTTATAGATCCATCTACCAACTTTTCCTGTTATTCCTTTATCATGCATTTTGTGCACTATTGCACCATGGTCACACTTGTCGAAAGCTTTTGCAAAGTCTGTGCACAGCCTCTTCTCACTTGACAATGGAGTTCCGTTCCTAAGACCACGTTATTAAATGAATTCATCGCTAAGTGAGGAGTATATTATATTGGTACTGAGTTTGTGTGAACCATCTTTGACATTGCTTTAATGTCACCTTTGCACCATTTGTAACATTTCTGGTATATTTTTAAATGTTTATACAGTAATGTACTGTATATTGAAATAAACAGAATAGAGGAAATCAGCTCTA